TGGAGAGCTGTGCATTAGTGGAAGTCAGAAGGAGGGACAAAAGGCAGCAGAAGAGGAGTGTGTGAGAGCTAACATGCAGATGGATGGAGAGGGCAGGTCAGTGCTGAGAGATGGAGGTGGACGAGAGTTTAGAGGGTCGTGTGTGTCAAGTGTGAGGCTGTGTGATGAACTGTGTAAGGTTACAGAAGAGTTTAAGTGTGTGTGAGAGAGGCTCGGAGAGATCAGGGTGCTGCTGGCTGAGGGCAACGAGCCACCTTACTGAAGATGGAAAGGCACTAGATGCTTCTGTTCATATGGGAATTAAATGTTAAAGTGAAGCTGAGGTAAACTGAGAGATGCAATAGCCGATGGGGGCCATAAGTATGAAAGAAAGTCATTTTTGTGTGGATTTTCTTTTTAAGTCTTTCAGATTGAGAGAAAATTGCTTTTCTCTTTTGTTAGGGAACCACATCGCTTAACTTTTCAAAGTTGTCTCACTCTTATCTACAGTAATACACCCTGTTAGTACAATAAAACAGACAATTTACTCGTTGACCTTATAGCTTACGTCATCTTCAGGCAAATAAACGATGTAATGCAACATAAAAAACATGACATAAGACATTTATTCCAAACAACTCACTAGCTACATTTCACATCTTCTTGACTGCTCAAGATCAAAACATTTTTTTGACTTTGAACTGTTTGATTTCTTTACTGAAATATTAAAGCCCCATAAAGCTGCTAGTGGCCGATGGTCTGCATCTTCCAGAATGTGCAGCTGGCTTTAGATTTTGCCTTTTTTGTGTGGATTTGGTTTGTTCAGAGTTTTAAACAAAGAGATTACTTACATCAGTCCAACCAGTGGCGTTTTCTCCCGGAGGCCAAGGGAAGCCAGGCTTCCCCTGTTTTTTCGGATTGTAGTTATAATTTAAATAAATAAATAAAAACACTTTGTTTTGTTTCGATACTTCTCCTTTGTTGTGTGTTGCTGCCGGCCCGTCTCTCCCCCATTCTCATTGAGTATTTTACAAAGAGTGAAACAAACAGCGCCCCTCTAGATGTTATGGTGAAACAGTAGATTGCACTCACTGTTGCGAGAGGAGGCTAGCCGAATCTGGCTTCCTTTGGTGAAAAAAAATGGAGGGATTGACCAATCAGATGAGGCCCACGTGATGCCCCTGCCAACCTGTGATTGGTCAGGGCCTGCCAAGGGAAGCCAGCGATTTGATTGGACACTGCCCTCCAATCAAATCACATCAACATCAGTTTTAATACTGTAACTGTCATCACCGCCGTTAGAAATTATCAAGCAAATGAAGCATTATGGAGGGTGGAGATTTGGCGTACTTAATCAAACATAACTTTACTAAACTTCCGCTACAGCAGCAACTACAAATTAAATCAGATGACAGGCCAATGCCTGCACTCGAGCTGTGTGTACACCAGTCTATGGTGTACACAGAGGAAAAAGGGAGAGAATCGGACGTTCAATGAGGACAATTATGTCCGCACGGAGTGGCTAACTGGAAGCGCTAAACTTCAGCGTCTATTTTGCTGGCCATGTCTTCTTTTTGACAAGGATTCGTGCTCCCTGAACAATCCTTGGGCAACTTCAGGATTCATCGACCTTGCCAACCTGTCACGGGCAATTGAGAGGCACGGTAAATCCAAAAATCACATAGATTGTGTGATTGTCTGCATACATTAATAAGTAAAATGCTTAAATTAATAAGGAGAGAGTTTCAGCTGGAGAGTGCGTGCGGACCTTTCGGTTAGATAACAGGCGTGTGCAAGTCCTGTATCTGTGTGATACAAATGTGTGTAAAATGATACCGGGCGCTGTAATCACTCATCTGGTTACGTTATTGACCCCCCCGACCCAAAAAATGGGCTTCCCCTACATTTTTCCCCACGCCACGCTACTGAGTCCAACTGAGGAAAACACTACAAATTAAGTGTCTTTTTTGTGTTACATCAATGTTTACAAGCATTGCTGTTTTGGAGGGGAAAAAACTATACAATGAAAATGTCACACGCTTAGATCCCTAACCTGAAAGTGTAATTATCTTGTTAACAGTGTTTATAAATGACAGAGGTGTGGACTTCTGACTGAGACGGATCAGCAGCGAGAGTCGGAGCAGGGGAAATCAGATTGTTCTAACCCAGCTCGGCCAGGATGTGATTTACCTCACTCCTCGTCCAAAAGTATAGAACAGCTCACACATCATACGCGGCTCACATATCATACGCGGCTCACACATCATACGCGGCTCACACACACTGTTGGAAATAAGATTTTATTTTCCTGTGTGAGGCACCCAGAGAGTTGGAGGTAGGTGATTTATCAACGGAGATTGATAATGAGCACACTCTCGATGTTGCCGTGGATAAAGGGGAAGAGAAATATTCGGCCGTGGGACGGAGGAAAAGAGGGAGCAGGGAGGGGGTGGGGGATTCATGAGGAGTAAAGACTCAAAACCGCAGCTGTTAGTGTGAAGACAGAATATATGAGGTAAAGCAAAGCGGATAGGGATGGAGTAAAAATGATTGTTCATCAGAAGAAGATAAACAATTGTTAACGTTGCAGAGAATAAATGAGAAGATGGATTTTGAGACAAAGGAGACGGTTGAATGTAGAAGAGGAATGCACAGTCACGCTACCTTCTGTGTTTCAGATAGATTTCAAATAACTCAGCAGTGATTTTTTTCTGGTTCCCCAGCTTTAGAAAGTGAATGGCCTCACAGGGGATTTCAGCAGCCCTTTCAAATCTCTTAAGCCTTTCTGTAAATAGTCATTCTGTTAGAGCAATGTATCATTATCCACTCTATTCACAAACCCAAACACACTGAGCTTCAGGTGTTGAGGCAGGGAAGTGCACACTTGTTTCAATCAGCTTGCAAGGCTGCTTTGAAAACCGTTCTGAACAGTGTTACCATCCTGAGCTGTTGTTAAAATAAAGCTTGGATTGTTCTGAAATTCCCCAATTGAAATCTGCAGGGGAAATATCTGTGTACACAGACGCTTCATGTTTTTGGTTCTCCATCTGTCCCTCTGTCCCTTTCTCGTTGATCAGTAATCGCAACAGACTAACAGAAGGGCATTCTTCAAATGTAGCACAGTCCACTCAAACACAAAGATGAATTGCCCGCTTCTACTAATTGTGTTTTTCGATGTATAAACTGTCTAAATTGTTGAAATAGTAGAATAAAAAATAATTTTAAAAAAAGAGTAGAAATATGATGGTTAAAAGTTCACTGTGAATTCACAAGATACATATTATTCAATAATTCACACACTATTATGATGATTTCACACAAACGTCTTATAGGAAAAAGTGGTTGGAGGAACTGATGGATGTACAGCTAGCTATTTGTAACTCCACAGACAAGTCTGTAAATGTTAATCTGGAAAAGTGTGGAATTTTGAAATGTTTGGAAACCATGTAGGAAATGATAAAAAAGAAAACGGTACAATCGAATTGCTTTAGTATAGTACTCCTTTAGTCTCAGAGCAGGTATGATTCCCTTTGATGGAAAAAGTGTATCTTAATTGGTAGCATTCTTGCCATTAGCACTGATGTGTTAGCCCAGTGTACGATCTGTTAGAATGAAGAGGTGGTCTGTATCCTGTCATCTCCAGGGACCAAAGGCTCTAACACAAACACACACACAAATTAGACTGTGCTTGTTCAAAGACTAAAGTGATCTCCGGAGATCAGCGAGCCTCAGGAGGTTGTGGTAATCCCAGAACACTTGTGCTTCTCTTTGGCATCACATCTCTAGAAATAGGTGTCAGGTCAGTGTTTGATCTTTATTCAGCCGTCCGCTCTTACTTCTGTCGTGCTGCCATCAGAAATCATCAGAGTGCACTAATTGCCACATTAATTGGCCTTTTTAGTGAGAGGCCTTCTCTTTGTTCTCTAGCTGTTTCCATTAAGACATTCATAGTGAAACTATGAATCACGCTCATACAGGACTCTGTATGTCCTCTGCTGGTGGCTCTAAATTGTGAGACTAGTTTATCATTTCACAAGAGTTTAGTGTTTCTCTTTCCATTATTTATATTTCATTTTAAAATAAAGCTAGGAACAAGTTGTGTTGTTCCTGCACAGATGTATTATACACTTTGAATAACTTCTAACCACCTTAAAAGCATTCTAAAGAGAATATTATGTATGACAACTATGAGATAATTATACACTTTGATGTGTGAGTGAGATGCAGAAAGTGATCCAAAGGTTGTTTAAATGTTTTGCATTAATGGGTCTATTTATTTGACCTCTCTCTTTAATGATCCGAATACCAAATGGAAACCAGAATCCATTCATTAACAGAGTAATAAGTGCAATTGATATCAGCATCAGTGTCCTTTTAACAGTTAAAAAATAAGACCACTTATCACCATTATGCTAATATGGATAGCTATTACCATAATGAAATGCCATTATAAATAATAAAATAATAAGATTTTATATTTCTTTCGTCCTCATTTAGTTTTTAGAGAGAAGTGTAGCTTGTGTACCAAAGCCTATGATTACAGGGACTGTATGGATGTTACCATTTTTCATTTCTCATTCTGCAGTCGTGGCCCTTTCTTATCCTCAGTGTTTAATATTCAAAGAAAGCATCCTAATAAAACTAAGAGTCTGTCACCACATTCCTCTTGACGCAGAAAAAATGGTGCATGCACATTTCCACCTGCACACTGCTGACACAAAACCACACAGCAGGACAAACAAGTGCCGACTGCTAACAGCTGCTACAACTAAAACCAAGATTGCACCAATAAAACAAATGAGTTTTCCTGATGTTTGTCAGATTAAAAGGCCAGAGAAGTGATTGCACCTTTCTTTGTTCTGAGCCAACTGAGATATCATCTGCAGAAGCTGCACTTTAATATCTTGTGTACCAGAAACACTAACCTAAGCTGATATTAGCTCTCCTCTTCACCCTCTGAATCTGAACCAACAGTAGGGATTGATCACAGACAGTAACCCTTGTACCTCTCCCCCTGTCAGGTGACCCCCTCCTCTAAGATCGTGGGGGACTTGGCCCAGTTCATGGTGCAGAACAACCTGACCCGGGCGGAGGTGGAGGAGAGGGCGGATGAGTTGTCCTTCCCCCTGTCGGTGGTGGAGTTCCTGCAGGGATTCATCGGGATCCCACATGGAGGATTCCCCGAGCCGTTCAGATCCAAGGTACAGCACACACACACACACACACACACACACACACACACACACACACACACACACACACACACACACACACACACACACACACACACACACACACACACACACACACACACACACACACACACACACACACACACACACACACACACACACACACACACACACACACACACACACACACACACACACACACACACACACACGTGCGCCACTTTCCTCCTGAAGTTAAAGTCTAACGTGGATTTTTGACCATTTCCATACAAGAACATGAATAGATTCTAGCTTTGTATTCTTCCTCCATGGCACAAGGCACTATGTTTTTGGGTTGTCTGCCTTGAGGGTATTTTTTAAATGTGTCCAAACCGCCCACATGAACTCACATTATAATTGGTTGTCAAGAAGCAGAGTCACTATGAGCCATAACTTAATATTCGTGTGCTGATTATGACTTTTTTACGGATACATTAGGTGAAAATGAAATTTGACAGGCATAGAAGTGAAGAACAACTAAAAGGGTTGGTGGAGGACACTGCAGTAAAAGGTGAGATTAAGAGAGGGGGATGAAATGCAATAAAGGTCCCAAGGGGCGGAATCGAACCTGCAATTGATCAAATATACGCTCCTAATTTGACTCTTAAACAATGTAGAACTCCAAAAGATTGTTTTAATGCTATCTCCTAAGGTTAATACAACCACAATATTTATTTAGTTCCATCTCTTACAAAACTTCCTTCCTTTACTTCTACTTTATATGTAAGGACACATGCAGAGAGAATTTGAAAGCCCATCAGTATGCAGCTGCACACACACATTGTGTCACATGCTTAGTTGCAGCTGACATTTGCAAACAGTGGAGAAAACCTTGGTATTGCTCTGTCCTCTCTACTCAGGTTCCCTGCGTCCGTCCCCTGCTCATCTATTCACAACTCCAAATAGCAAGGGAGCAACTAAAGCGACTGAAACACGAATAAAGACAAGTTTGTCACATTCTCCCAAAAACCTGCTGACATATTGGCTTACTTGACATTTCCCCCGAAAAGTCAGTGTAGATTTTCTATTCCTTGGGGGAAGAAAGGAAACTGGTGAATGTCTTTTCCCCAAATCCTGCTTTTCATAATGTATTATCAGTGAGCTGGTTGCCAACTAAAATGTGAAATATTGGGTACGAGACCCTATATGCACTTTCCCTCAGGACACACACCGTGTCACTGTGTGTGGCGGAGCACATTTTGAGGCCGCAGCAGAGCTTTTGTGCAGAGCCTGATTTATAATTAAAGGATTATTCTAAAGTAGTTACTCATAGGTGTAGCAAGCCCACCTTCTGATCCATATCTATCAGGCTGATATCCACACACATTCATGGCCACTTTAATTTAGTCTAGGGTCTTTTTCTCCTTCCTTGTCAAGTTCAGCTTTTTGCTCCTTTCATCACTTAGCTGTAGGTTTCTCCCTCACATCTTTCCTCCCCTTTGTTTACATCTCTGTGAAAATAACTCCTGACTTCCTGTCACCCTTACCATCAAGTTGTCCTTTCTCTGTTAAATGGAGTAAACCTGGGAGATTATACGATCAAATATTTGTTATTTAGCCTGCAGGCAGTCCTGCCCTTGCCAATCACTGTCTGCTACCTCTCTATTAGTGTCTCTCAATCGATCTATTTCCCTAAAAGGTGGCATGGGAGTCATTCCTACCAAACAAACCGGTTGGTGGAAGTCTTCCGAATCCATGTAAATATTTTGGTCAGCGTTACAAATCTTTGTGCTGAACGTCACTTGTTCAGCATCCCACCCTCAATATTAAATGCAGCCGTTTTCACACAGCTCATAGAACTAATTCTCTGCCTGCCTCTGATCCACAGTGCAGAGTCCTGCACGGGTCTGATTTTCAAGACCCGCTCCCGCCCTGCACCCGCGACGTGCAATACTGAACCCGCCCCGCTACCCACAGATATTGCCAATTAGTTCTGTAACCCGACCCGACCCGTCGGCACAAGATCCGCAACCCGACCCGAACCCGCATAGCCTATGAGCAGTGAAAACGTGCAATTATTAACACACGCAGTTTCATATTTGTCTCAAAAAGCGTGGGATGTTGGTTCTTTTCTCCATCTAGGATGACACCAAAAGCCTCCCAGACGTTGGATTTCGCTCTTGAGGAAGTGTTATTGAAAATGCTGTATTCTCCGCTAGAGAGCTTCACCTCAGCCATTTCGAATGTGGCGCACACAGCAGCAGATTGATGCGCTGCAGAGGTTATGATTATGCGCGGTCCCGCGGGGGAGAGGTCTGAGGATTTAAACATTAAACTAAATTATTATTATTTTAATATATTTATTATGCAATACCCGCGACCCGACCCGCATCATCTTTGTTTTACCCAGAACCGAACCCGGAAAAAAGCGTTTGAAAAAATACCACCCGCGAATCACTTTTTTTGCGGGTCACTCGATGCAGGACTCTGCCACAGTGTCATTCAGCCTTGGTTTAAATTGTTTTTGCTTTCCTTTCACAATATTTTGATGCGAGCTGTACGTTTGAGATAAATCTGATTTATTTAGCTGTCACCCTCTGAACATCTCATAGCCCTTACAGAGATTAAATCAAAAATAATTGGTGTCAAGCTCTTCTAAGTTAGATAAAGTAAAAGTTGTATTTTATCACATTCATTTCCTACATCATTGCTATGTTAGTTGGGGCATTTTGTCTCATGAATCGTTAAATCGTACTCTAGTTTGAATGTTTGTGTCTGTATTTGACTGTTCTTACACTATGAGGTGTGATCAGCTTATTAGTTAGCAGCATTTGCATGCAACTTTAAAGATTTAAACACCATTTAAAGCAATGCATGCTACAGTATAGCTGTGAGATATCTGCATCAGTCGCAGAAGGAAGTAATGTTTCTTTTAAGGATCTTTGATGGAATTAATTAGTAACAGAGCATTATATCAAATGCTCTCATAGAGTATGCATTCATTTCTTGAATGCAATTGTATTTGCATTCACATTCGTTTTAATTAACAAAATTGTAATTGAGGCGTTCCCTCATTTTAGTTCTGCCAGGCTCAGTTCAGATGCAGCGTGGGTGGACAGAGCGGAGAAAGCTAGAAGCACGGCAGGGCCAGGAAGGGGAGGATGTGGGAGGATAGATGGGGGGCATGAGGAGGCCATCAGCAAGCAAGTGGATTCAAGAAAAAACATTATTGTCAGAAAATCCAGCGCATCCCTCAGAGGCACTGCACTCTGAGAGAGAAGAAGAGAAGGACATCTGTGACAATGAAACAAAAGGAGTGTGTTGTGGCGTTGTTTTAAAGGTGGGGTAGGTAATTTTGGAGAAACCAGCTCGAGTGCGTGAGAATTTGAAGATCCACAACCGGAGAAAATCTGCCACTTCCTTACAGAGCGCCTCCTCCAACACACACGCACATGACCAATGAGGGCACGAGATACATTTGTGCACAGAAGGAAGGCTGACAGGCAGGTAGGCCATCCAGTTATTTTAGCCGGGCCGGCTCAGATGATTGGTCGTGCTTTTTACTAGGAAGTAGGGATGCACGATATTAGGAATTATGACGTCATCCCGATAAACCCGATACAAGTATTAATAGCCCCGATAATATACAATATATTTTTTGGGTAAAAAAAAAATAAAAAATACTGCGGTGTGGGTGGATTGGGATGAGGGGCGCTTGTTTTTCACTCGGCTCCTCCCGTTTTGCCAGTACTGTGGTTTAGGAAGAGGGGAGTTCTTCACAAATCCAGCGCTCCCTAACTCATGCCTGGCTGTGACGTAAATGGTGTGCGGCCGTGAAGCCAGGACAGTAAACAAACATGTCGTCGGTGGTATGGGCGTTGGAGCTATGTGCAACTCAAGGCATATGCTCGAACCGGAGCTGCCTGGACGCTGCAATCATGTTGCGCACTATCCGTGCTGAGTGTGCTGACTTTTCGTACAATGCCCCACTGTCTGGCTTCCTGCATAAAGTCAAGTGCTCGGCGCAGTTGTGGCGAAATGTCGCTCCTCTTTTTTCATTTAAACAGCTCCTTATCCGTAGCTAGCTAGCACCAGATGCTAACAACAACAATGCACGTAAGGTCTCTTGCTCGCTCGGGCCACACAAGGAAGTTTTTCCTTGTACGATGTGAGGGTCTAAGTATTGTCATACTGATATTTTGTACAAACTGTAAAGTCCACTGAGACAAATGTAACATTTGTGATATTGGGCTATATAAATAAACATTGATTGATTGATTGATACACACACACCCTCCCGGTCCTCCAGATGGCTAGTCGGTGCCTTTATACAGTCTATGGTCGGTGCCTGCCGGTGAGCGTGGAAGTGTGGTCTGCCACAAGCGGGCGGCAGGAGAGAGGGGCTGTCAGCATCAGCTTGTAGATGGTATTTTAAACTCGATGCGCTCTGAAACTACGGGGCGGCCAAGGAAAAAAAATACACATGCGTTAATCGCGTTAAAATAATTAGTGGCGTAAACAATTTTTTATTATCGGTATCGGTCTTGAGAAGCAGGAAGGTATCGGTATCGGTTTCAAAAAACCAATATCGTGCATCCCTACTTTTTACAGTACCACGGCTTTTATCAAAGCACTTAAGATATTTATTGCTATAGGGATGTTAAGAGCATTCCATGGAATATAACAAAAAGTGTATCTCGAGCCGGTTTCTCAAACTTACCTATCCCACCTTTAAGAGTAAGAGGAGAGAGTAAATAACCTTGAAGAAAGAATGTTTCTTTGTGAATGCACACTCTCTCTCTTCTCACACAGTATCTGTCCACTTAAACAATCATACAGTTTCTTGGAGGACGGAATGTTAACGAGCAGCGCCTACAATGAGCCGGCCATCTTTGCAGTGTCTTCCTCTCACACACACACACACACACACGAGTCAGCTATCTTTTAACTGTTAGCTCTGTGACTAATAGCATTGCATTGGGCCCTTTGTCTGGAGATTTCTGCAATACACACACACACGTGCGCCCACT